TTGACCTGTCTGTTTCCTCTCCACCAATCTTCTCCTCTATCTATCTTCTATCCGCCTCCCCCTCTCTCCCTATTTAGGCCCGAAACGTCAGCCTTCCTGCTCCTATGATGCTGCTTGGCCTGCTGTGTTCATCCAGCTCTACAACTTGTTACCTCATCTACTTCTGTCTGCTTTTCTTTCCTTTTTCCTTTTCATCTTTTTACCTTTGCATTTTTTCTTTTTCTTTAAAGACTTGTCTCTTATCTTTACGCCCCAGTTGCAGCAGCATCAACAGCAACATCAGTGAGAGTGGGTCTCTCACTGAATGGTGGCGCAGGCCCAGGGAACAGCAAGGCTGAGTAAATGCCAAAGGAGGAAGCACCTAATGATGGCTGCAGCATTGCCAGGATGGAAACAGTCTGAGGTCTCCCGATGAGCAGGTCCCAGGCTTAATCTTGCGGTCCCCACCACACCACACCTCCCCAGCCATCCCAAACATCCATACCCACCTATAGTGATTATACTACAGCACAGTGGCCAATGTTCAGCACACGAATGGTTCTAATCAGGGCAGCAATCATTTGAATTGAACCAAAAATAAAGATATTGGATGTAAAATTATCTGGGATGACACACAGGAGAGATGCATTGAAATTGGGATTGTCCATTATAAAGCTGGATGAGTAGCTATCCAATAATTGAGGCACAGCCTTTGGGAGCGGCAATTGCATGATGAAATACAAAACTGGTTTCTTTCAGGATGACAGCATTCCCGCTTACACCACTGCCATTGTGTTAATACCATTGCTGTGATCTTTCAGACAGCCAGTCTAGACTGCTGCCACTCATGCCAAGGTGATGCAGTACAAAGTTGGGCTTTCTAGCCCGAAGCAGCCTGAGGGCATCATGCAGGAACATCTCCACACCCCTTAAGGGAAACTCAGCGGTCTATTACCAGTCATATTGCTTGCTTGGCGTGTTACATTGGAGCATTAAGACAAGTCAAGTCACAATCAAGACGTTCACTAAGTGAACACAAAATGACGAATAGTTCATTTTTGCTGCATTTGTGGGTGTGCTTTTGGAGAAGAAATTATAGGTTTTGGTTGGGGGTTTTTATTTCAGGATTTGGCCAAATGGATGGTGTGATGGGAACACTCCATATAGTGAACGGGGAGGTGGAGAACTCATGGTAGTCGTGGGATATTCTCCTAAGGGCTAAGTCATTTCAGTCAGCTGTATAATATAAAAGGATCCCAGCTGTCTACTTTTCTTCGTTTTTCGTGATGGCCATGGCTGTGTTCTCACAATGTCAAGGTCGTAACAATCACAGCAGATCATCATGAATTTGGGAAACACACTCCACCCAATTCATCTCGGCAGAAAAACCATGGCTTAAGAGCAGTAATATTCTACGTGCAATGTTTCTGGTGGCTGTGTGGCTTTCATTTTAAGGCACTATCCTTGCATGTTTGGATGGTAGAATAGACTCATTGGACGAGTGAAGTGGGTATGGTCCTTTTCTCTTTTTGGAGGCTCACAGACAGCTAAAAATACCAGACTGCCTCAAGATGTCATCATGGATGTTATAACAAAAGTAGTCATTTACTGGCAAAATACAACATGCATGGTCACATCCAATTGCACACTGATGGAATAGCAGGACTTGCTATTCCCATATCTCTGTGTGATGGCATGAAGGTTCATCCATTAAGTTAATGGTTCTTTGCAAGAGTGGGAATTTCATTATCCCTACAAATGCGTACTCATCATCATTTTCTCTGCTTACAGAAAACATACCATAATAAAATTGCTACTCTTCACATATTGAGACCAAACCAACTCCTGGATACAGTGTGTGAATGACATACTTGGCCAGTTTCACCATGTCAGCCACTCCTCCTTGAAATGATCAATCTTGTAGAGATGAATATGGCCTTAACAGTCATTCGCAGTGTTCTCCTTGTCCTGAACGATGCTGCAAGCCCTCTTGCAGAAAGCAAAGCGCTGTTCCCACATTCTCATCAAATCTAAACTGCCTCAAGCATTGTTCCTGAATGAAATAGAGGTGAGAGAAGTACTCGCTGAAAACTCATGGCGCAGGATCTTCTAGGGAGAGTGTTCCTCTGCTTCCGTCTGGAAGAACCTCTCCTCCCTACCTTCTGCTCATTTGGTTTTCAGGTTGCAGACCCAGGGTCCTTGCATACGCAGCCCCATACCTCTTGCTGACTTGATGTGTATAGGTAACCAAATCCTCTGGCATCCCTGAATGGATACACCAAATCATCAAAAGACTTCCCAAAAAGAAGCCATGTACTTCCAAAAGTTTACTCAACAGAAGCCAAAATCACCTCACCTTCATGTTCCATGCCTGCCCCCTTAAATAGCACCAATGTTGGGACTGGACCCTTACGTTCTTGATTAGTAAGGAAACCATAGGTTGAGGGGAGAAAGCAGGAAAATGGGGTTGTGAAACATATCATACAAGATTTAATGGTGGAACAGACTCAATGGGCTGAATGGCATAATTCTTGTTTTTCCTCTATTTAACGTTTTTTTCTAAATAACCTGTTCAGAGATCTTATTATACACATCTGGAAGTTAAACCCAGGCCTCTAGCCCAGGAGTAGCAACACTACCACTGCACCACACGAAGACACCAATTCTCCTCTTTTTTCCTAATGAACCTGTTTAGAGATGTTATTACACATGTAAGGAGTAGGTGGGATTTGAACCCATACCTCCCATTCCAGGGGTAGGGACAATACCACTGCACCACAAGAGGTTCCCATTTGTAACCACTTCTGCACCACAAGACAGCACCCCCGAACTTATTTTGTTTGAAGATCCAATACTGCCCTTTACTTCTTTTCCCAGATCACCTGTGATTTTATATGTATTTTTAAAAATATATATTTATACATAGTGAGACAAAAATATTTTGAATATATCATAATTTTTTTTCCACCACCAGGGAAACACCCATGTGGACAACTATATATTAATAAATACAAGCTGTTAAGGACAATGGTGGCCTGGCACCTTTATGCCCCTGAACAAATGCTGTGGATCAGCTGATAGTGATCAGCAAATGTGTAAAATTGAGCTACTTGGTCCAAGTTTCCATAATGTACATCAAAACAACTGGAATTGTAGCCATCTTATGATGTTAGAGTTTACATAATAATGCTCAATTTTGCACTAATTATCCTATTGAGGTCATAAGGGGATTCACTGCTACTACTCATATCCCTTCCAATTCCAGATTACACCATCACATGTTTAGATGTTGGGCAGCACAAGCACATAATAAAATGCCTGATTGTTGTTATTTGAATATTGATATCTGAGGTAAATCTGAAATTGTAACATCTACATTCTCTTTCGATTCCACTCTCCCTCATTTCCACTCTTTATCTTGTTATTGTGCTCTCCTGTTCTCGTGTGGGTGTGCTCACTCTCTCTCCCTTGTGCTTTCTCTCTCAGTCTCACTTTCTCTTGAACTCTTGTAATCACTCATTTTCTTTCATTTTTTGTTCCTTATTGTCCTCTTATCTTTTGTTCAATTAATCAAGCATGAAGAATCTAAGGCAGAGGAAGAAATGCTTCAGACCCCTTTGTTTTAGAGACTGCTAGCACTATCTTATCCATGGCAGCACTTATCTCATCCAAAGTCATGTGGCATGTGTGACAGTTAGCACAAAGAGATTGTGAGGGTAATACTTGGGGAATTAATTGGCACAGTTAGTGTAGGGTAAAATCTGAGGAGTCTGAGATTTTTGGCTCCCAGATGAGGATTATATAATCTGTATCTCACAGATTGTGATTTTGAAAGAAAGATGTTTGCAACCAATCACATCTATGTGAAGATAACAAGGTGTAGAGCTGGATGTGTGAAGAAACTATGATAGAGGATACTAATTACGTGCAGTACTTGCTAGGTTAAATGGAGGAATCCATAGTTATCATACGTGGCACATTCAGAGATGACAACACAGATGTACAAGAGCCAATTATTCCTGGTATTCTACTTTCAAAGTTACATCAGGATTGTTTATCGAGATCTCAACACTTCTTTGGTTCAAAATGAATGAATGGGAATATTCTTACTGTTCATGATATCCTAAAATTCATGTAATATTTCTGGATGTCAAAAAGCACAGTTCCTCAAACTGTCTCTTCTGAAATGGCATTTTCACCTTTTCACAAATGAACACTATAACATCTACTTCTCCTCAGTGAACATCATCATTCCCAAATATTCTAATATAATTGTCATGCATCTGGAGTTAGTGCTTACTAAACTGCTTGCACAATTTGTCTGAAATATGTACATAAAAAAGCACGCATTACAAAAAAAGTCATCATAAATACAAATCTGTTTGGCAAAGATCAATACTAAGGAAATTCTGCTGAGCACAGTAATCAATTGCAGAATTTTTCTGTGCTTCTGGGACACATTCATTATACCCCTGAAAGAAGTAAGTTGAATTATGAGTTATTTATTCCCTCATTTTGATTATCTAAAACATTGGGATTCAGAGAACATTATAATAATTTAAACTGATATCTGGGGAGATCAATAATATTCAGGGTAAGTTAGTCTCTTAGAACACTACATGTTACGCATTTAAAAACAAATTGCATACCAATTTGCCTGTGCCATAGGGTTCAACATAACGCACTGCAACCCAACTTGTAGTGTGCGGCTTTCCCAAGAACTCTGTGTGATACTGTTCTACAAAGCCATCTTCATCATATGTGACATATTGTCCAGTAAAACCATCTGGACAAAGGATGGAAGGCCAGCTAAAAAATAGAAAATAATATTCAATAAAATAGAATCCATAAGTTCAACTCTAAGTTGTAGTTCTGTACTACTACTGTAGTGTGGGGAATATAAATATTTAGAAACCAGTGATAGTTCTGGATCACTTTCAATAATAAACCAGTATGGTCATAACAAAATACTTGATTCCCTCAAACTAGAAGTTACAGAATTAACGTTTAATAGTCAGGTCATAAATCTAATATTAATTGCAAGACATTCAACTTAAACGCAACACTTAGTGGTATAGTAAAACAATATTTATTTTAAAATAACAATTCTTAAAAAAAACAAATTCTGCTATTTTAATTTAATTATAATAATATTATGCACTTTAGTTATTCTCTTCCTCATTCTCCAAATGCAGCTCATTCTCCACATGCAAAAAAAAAGCTAACATCGAAATGGGGGCAATTTCAAGTGACATTGTACCTTTAAGAGATCTGCAGTATGCATGAATCATTCTGTAATGCAATCATTGCCCACCTTCATTTTGTATAGAGATTGTATCTCATTTTGACAAAAGAACAAAAATGAGAAAACCATACTAAATATTTCAGACAACAAACTGTGACAGCTAGTGAGAACATTTTGCATGTGTTGAGTGAACTGTATTCAGTGCAAACTAGCGACCACTTAGGGCAAATAACCTAACAACGTTCCTCCACCATTTAAATTGTATGCAGAAATACATTTGCAAATACCTGATGCTCAATGAGTTACAACTGACACCAGTTTGCAGCAGCAATGCCAAAGCATTTGTCAGTTTAATCTCAAATTAAGACAATATATTCTGTAAAAGGATACAAATTACTTTTCAGAATCTGTTTACATAATGCAGATTATTTTGTCTCAGTAGAATAAGTGTTACTTTATTGATGCTTTTTAAATAATTAAGTAGAAGTAAATTAGTGCTAAATTGAAAGCAAACTTTCCTTGAATTACAATATTAAAAAATTGATTAATGTAGCATAACAAGATAAATATTCACCACAAATCAGAAATATGTTTGTGTTGCATAGGGAAGAATTTATAGCTAAAACATTGCAACTTTCAACAATAATCTTGAGAAATAAGTGAGTGGGAGGAAATTCCATATGGTAACATTAAGGACAAGAAGGAAAACTGAGTGCAGCTTTACCCACATTGAAGTAAAAATGATAATGTTGTGAACACAATAACTGAAGTATCTTGTATTGTAATGATATTAAAAATTATCCAAAGAATAAATTTAAATCAGAAAATTCTAATTCCAGTCCAGGTTTCAATTAGGACAATGCCAGTATTTTCTATCTGAATTCCCTACTTACAGTCATGGTATTCAAATCTCTACCAGGATCACAACTTCAAAATATCTGCCCTTGATTAACTTTGCATTTTATGCTTTAAAATTGTATACAAAGACCTTAAATTAGCATGGTCAGATGTATAAACAATCTCATTCATTTTCATATGCTGGTGAGCAAGCTGCAAATTTATTTCACGTTATTTAAAGTTTTCTTTTGATAAATTTAAATATCTGGACTGAATAAAGAAATGGAAGAATGATTTTAAAAGTAAAGTCAAAAACTATGCTCTGAATTTCAGTGGCTGACAAACATAGGCATATTAACTGGTGATGTACTTAAGGTGCCAATGCATGCAGTGAGGCAAAGAAGATTTTCTCTTTTTGCAGTAGAGTCATTTAAGATAGCAGGATGATGATAGATGATAGAGATAAAGATCCAGTTGTAAAGGTAGACAATGCGGAAGCATGAAAATATTGATGAGATCCCGCAGATTGTTTCATTATCTATCCCAAGTTTGCTTGTCACAAGCTCACAGGCTTTGGATCATATACTGTTCACTCTCTGTAATCTGTCATGTAAATTTGCAATCCTTACAATGTTACTAGGGTACTAAAATGGGGGAAATAGCAAATGCACTAATAATTATTTACCAAAATTCACTGGACTAGGGGGTGGTTCCCACAGATTGGAAAACAGCCAATGTGACGCCACTGTTTAAAGAAGGAAGTAGACAAAAAGTAGGTAACTACAGGCCAGTTAGCTTAACTTCGGTAGTGAGGAAAATGCTTGAATCTATCATTAAGGAAGAAATAGCAAGATACCTGGATATAAATTGTCCCATTGGGAATACCCAGCATGGGTTCATGAAGGGTAGGTCATGTTTAACTAATTTGGTGGAATTCTTTGAGGACATTACTTGTATGGTGGACAATGGGGAACCTGTGGATGTGGTGTATCTGGATTTCCAGAAGGCATTTGACAAGGTGCCACACCAAAGGCTGCTACATAAGATAAAGTTGCACGGTATTACAGGTAATGTATTGGCATGGATAGAGGATTGGTTGACCAGTAGAAAGCAAAGAGTAGGGGTAAATGAGAGACAACAAGGTGCAGGGCTGGATGAACACAGCAGGCCAAGCAGCATCATTGTTTTTCTGGTTGGCGGTCAGTGGCTAGTATTGTGCCTCAGGGATCAGTGTTGGGACCACAATTGTTTACAATTTACATAGATGATTTGGAGTTGGGGACTAAGTGTGGTATGTCAAAATTTGCAGATGACACTAAGTGATAGAACAAAGTGTGCAGAAGACACTGAAAATCTGCAGAGGGATAGTCTAAGTGAGTGGGCAAAGGTCTGGCAAATGGAGTACAATGTTGATAAGTGTGAGGTCATCCATTTTGGTAGGAATAACAGCAAAATGGACAATGTTTTAAATGGTAAAAATTTGCAGCACGCTGCTGTGCAGAGGGACTTGGGTGTCCTGGTGCATGAATCGCTAAAAGTAGGATTGCAGATGCAGCAGGTAATTAAAAAGGCAAATGGAATTTTGTCTGCCATTGCTAGAGGGATGGAGTTTAAAAACAGGGAGGCTATGCTGCAGCTGTATAGGGTCCTGGTGAGGCCACACCTGGAGTACCGTGTGCAGTTTTGGTCTCCTTACTTGAGAAGAGATATACTAGCACTGGAGGGGTGCAGAGGAGATTCACTCGGTTGATTCCAGAGTTGAGAGGGTTGGATTATGAGGAGAGACTGAGTAGACTGGGATTATACTCATTGGAATTCAGAAGAATGAGGGGAAATCTTATAGAAACATATAAGATTATGAAGGGAATAGATAAAGTGGAGGCAGGGAGGTTGTTTCCGCTAGCAGGTGAAACTAGGACTAGAGGGCACTGCCTCAAAGTAAAGGGAAGCAGATGTAGGACTGAGGTCAGGAGGAACTTCTTCACCCAAAGGGTTGTGAATCTGTGGAATTCCCTGCCCAGTGAAGCGGTTGAAGCTACCTCGCTGAATGTTTTTAAGGCAAGGCTAGATAAATTTTTGAACAGTAAAGGAATTAAGGGTTATGGTGAGCGGGCGGGTAAGTGGAGCTGAGTCTCAACAAGATCAGCCATGATCTTATTAAATGGCGGGGCAGGCTCGAGGGGCCAGATGGCCTACTCCTGCTCCTTGTTCTTATGTTCTTATGTTCTTACCATGCATGGCTACACAGCAACAGATTAACAACAAAAGCATATGCTTTGAGAACAGTTGTCACTCCAAAATCAGAAGAATGCATCACACAATTAATGTAGCACAACATAACTGCATGATGCACATTAAGTTGCTGACATTGTGGGCACAATCAAATGCAGAAATTGGAGGTCTTGCTCACTGGCTAAAGAGCTCCCTTCACCAGCTTCAAAATCCCTACATCCCCAGCCTTAACCCATGTCCAGCCCTCCCGCTCATCCTTGCCTCCCTGACCTGACCTAAACTGTCCATCTTCCTATTCACCTATCCACTCCATCCTTCCCACTGACCAATCACAATAACCCCCTACCTGCATCCAATGATCACCTTCCCACCCACCCTTCCCCCAGCCCTACCTCCCACCATCTATTTACTTCTGGGCTCCCCTTCCTCTCCCCAGTCCCGAAACATTGACTTGCCTGCTTCTCAGATGCTGTCTGACCTACTGTGCTTTTCCAGCTTCACATCTATTGACTCTGGTTTCCAGCATCTGCAGTCGTTACTGTCTCCAGATCCCTCCCTTGCCTCCTTCAGGGAAGGATCACTGACTCAAAAGTATCTCTTGTCAGGTGCTGCCCTTCCCTGTGACCAGAGACACAGTGAAACATCTGTAACTCAGATTTGCTGGCCAATCAGAAGCCAAGGCCAGCAACTGGTGCACTGCAGACAGCTTCACTGTGAAACCAACAGGACATTCCAGTAATTCGGCCATCAAAGGCCTTGGATCAGTAAGGGAGCCAGGTCAAAGGCAAATGAGAGGGTTGCATGGTGGGGACTGTTGTAGGGGAGAGATCAGCAGCAGCAATGCCAGGTTTTAGTTCTTGGCAAGCCAACCCTCCCCTCACCCTTTCCTGATATCAAGCAGGCACTGAGTGCCTTTGAATGAGGGCCCTACCCCTGAAGGCATGCAAGCAACTCCCAGCAGGGTTTGATTTTCTGAGATAAGATTGCGTTGGAATGTGCACCTGGCACAACCAATTAAAAAAGGGTGCAGTCTCCTTCAAAATCAAGAACATAATAGAGGAGGAGAGAAAACCGAAGGGGAAAAAAAAACTCAATTGTCTTGGCTAACCTCTCCTATTTACAACGGAACCTTCTAGGTGTAGGTTGACTTTAGCAGTCACTTAAGTGCCTACTAGAAGCCTACTAAATGACCCAGATGTTAAACATGGTCATTTCATCGTAAAGGGTGAACAAGAAAACAGACTGACTTATGTCACAATCAGTGATTTCATCAGGCCAAAGATAGCCTGATGGTGGGCTCCCAACCTGTACCCTCAGCCTGGTGGCTCAGCAGTTAGCACTGCTGCCTCACAGTGCCAAGGACTCAGGTTCGATTTCACCCTTGGGCGACTGTGTGAAGTTGCACGTTCTCCCCGTGTTTGTGTGGGTTTCTGCCAGCTGCTCCAGTTTCCTCCCACAGTTCAAAGATGTGCAGATTAAGCGGATTGGCCATGCT